AGTTTTCTTCCTCTCCGTCCTTGGCTTTTTTTCTCTTTCGGCTGTACATTAAAGGAGCATAAAACAGAGGACAAAGCGGGTTCTCAGTGTCTTGGCACTTGAATGGCTTGATTTCCATTCTGGTAGAGATGTAGTGTCTCGGCCTGCCAAGTGGTGTGTCGACAGATCACGGCCTGGGCCCCACGTCTATAAAGAAATCTACTGTACACAGTGTCCACTGATAATGAGATATACTCAGCATCCAACAGATCCGAGTCTTTTCACTTCTCCTCTATTACTGTGGGCTGACTCACTTTAGAGCCCAGCTCTAAAAAACACATTTAAAAGGTGCCGTGTCTCTGTCTCTCACATGTACACACACACATCGAAAAAGGCATATATCTGCTTACCGCAGCGACCCCTCAGTAAATTATCGCCACACAGTAAGGTGAAAAAGAAAGAGACAGATACAGAAAGACGCTGTTTGAACGTTTGACTTTCCCTCGATCTCATTTAACTCCATGTCTCCTTACAAACACATCGGAGCATCTGTTGATGGCATCTTGCCCTCTCAGTGGGAGATGAGAGAGGCTGGTAGAGGGTGCTTCACTATAGGACTCCTTTCTACTCACCAGACATGTACCGCATACACACATACACACTCCCCGCCACTTAAGTCCCAGTGCAATTTACAGTGGAAATGAAAACACTCCAATGGCAAAAGAGTTTGACAGGGTGTGAGTGTGTTTAAATATGGCCCTTTTTCTTTATTAAACACTACTCAGGTGAGACGAAGACATAAATACCCCTTCCCAGTGTTGAGATAAGTTTATATAATCTGACTTTCCTCCTCTATTTCAGCTTATTCATGGCTCAACAACTCTTGCTTATATGCGCCTCGGTTCCATTAGCCACCCAGCTAGTTAGTGAAAGCAAGCCATTATTGAGGAAAGACTGCTAACAGTAGATGATCTGTTGCCGTGCGTGTTTATAGTCTAACCCAGAATTTTAATTGATTTTTATGTAAGCAGTTATGTAGACTCTTCCTGATTGAGTTATAGTAATTAGATTAGAGATAAGATCAGGCATTTGCAGCACGTCTAACTCAGACAATTAGGAAGTCTCGACTCAGAAAACAGATTGACTGAAGGCGGCATGATTGTAACGTGATGTTGTTGGATGACAACCTGCGATGCTAAACGGGGGCTTTTCCTACGGGCCTCAGCCGTCCTAATCGACCTGTCAAGTGGCACCTTGGGTCCAAATCTGCTCACTTAACTCGCCGACTGCCTTCTGCACTGCCTCCCAGCAGCCCATTGCGTTTATGTCGAACTGCTCTGCATGCATATGAGCTGTTTTGATGCTGGGAGGCAAGAAAGCATTTTCTATTTTGCTTTGAAGCTTCTAGCTTCTCAAATGTTACTCTAAATCTGAGACTTGATGCTATAGATAAACTTGTTTGAAAGCATTTTGGAAATACAGCATAAAAACAACAATAGCTAGTACAGTTGCCTCATAACGTAGTACTGCTGTTACTATTTGTACATTAAGCCCATGACTGCTTGTGGTACCACCAATATAGAAAAGTGGGACCACAGAGCTGGTGCTGATCAGGACTGCTATGTGGGTTTTAGGAAGGGGATTGTGTTGTTTGGCCATCGTGCAAGGATCAGAGGCGTGGGGACTGATGCCAAAGAAATACCAGAGAACCTTTCGAGAACTGCCAAAGGATAGGGAATGGTTGTTTCACAAAGTTCCCTAACACGTGTTTTGTTTGGCCACACAGCCCAACAATACATATGACTCCCATTTGTCCTGTTAACTTAATCTGCCTCCTTCTCTTCCCCTCCTTCCATTTCTTTCCTTCTCTCTTGCACAAAGTTAGTATCACACCCAAAGGGCAGAGTAGTTTCTGATTAAGGAAAGTGAATCAACATCAAACTGCCAGAGGTACAATAGGGAGCAGACGATATTATGGGGCTACAGGATGGCCCACCTTTTCCTGGCCTTCCTCTACAGCACCAGATTTTTAAGTAAGGTCGTGACTGAAATTTGAGGACTAAGGCAAAGCTTTTCCACTTCCAAAACCTCTTGACTGAACATTTGCAAGCGCATGAGCATCCAGTCGTCTCTGAGGAATTGGCCCCAGCAGATGGCTCTTCGTCTCACAGCCATCAGGAACATTTTATTTAGCTGTTTGTCACGCTGTAAGACATGGGAGACCTCAATCTCTCCCCCTCTCCATCTACAGTGACCCGCCACGGCTCCAGCCTGAGACGGCCTAATGGAAACTCTCCTGTTAGTGCCGCAGGTTTGGGTAAGGGGAGTGGGGTCTGCTCGACTGTCATTCTGATGGAATATTGGATAAGCAGGGGTCAGAGGTCATGTTTACACAGCAAATTCTCCATTTCCTTCATGTCACGTCAAACAGCAGATATATGGCAGCCAGGGGAGGAGAGAAGGGAAGCTTGACTTGACGTGGCACCGCATTGGCTTTCACTCTTTTTTGGTTGCTGTCACTCAACCCCCCCCCCACTTACATTTCACAAACACATGGAGACAGATCGAGCTTGCAGTGTGACATTGGCCCAATTTGTCACCTACTAACCACTCTGTCATAAAATTTCACGTATACCCAAGCTAACCTAAATATTAGCATTTAAATTGAGTAACCATTGGGGGGCACAATATTTCTCTCCAAACACTTTTTCACTTTGGCTTCTCTTGGCTATGGGAGAAATACAATAACCAATAATGTCTTTCCTCTGATACGATAAAGAGCTGTCATGATTGATTTCCACACTGCCACGACCCTTGAATTAATTTGGATCTGTCTTCATCCTCCAATTCTGTCGCTTCTTGCCCGTCTCTTTTTTTGCTTTCTCTTTCTTACTTTGGCTCTGCACTGCTCCCAGAGCTCATTTAAAATACCTTAATGCTGTTGGCTATTGTCTGTGGTCCGCTGTATGGTGCTTTGGCACACGCAGATGTTTATGGATTTCAAACCGCCTCAGAGATGAATGTGAAAAAAAATGTGCAGGCGGTTTGAGGCAGGCGGTTTGAGGCAGACGCTCTGCAGCGGTTTTGAGGAGTCAAAGTCGAGAGGGGAAACTTTTTGTGGAGAAGTTTCAGCAAAGTACTGTTTGACGCTGCAATCCTCAACTCAACTGAGCTCAGCACTGAAGATTACAGAGAATATCTATGAATACTTTTACCCTTTAATCCCTCTTTCGGGTTAAGAAGGCGAAGAGTTTTATCTTTGTGTGTGTGTGTGTGTGTGTGTGCGCATGTGAGTAAGTGCCAGAGAAAAAAGTGAAGAGAATAGCGGAGGTGATGGCGGAGCTGATTGGCCAAAGTGGTCTGTATGAGTCGTAACAGATCAAGGTCACATCGCTGATTTCCCCCGGCTGTTAGGGTGAGAGCCGGTGACCTCTGCTTCATTAACTCTGTAATTCGCCTGTAGCCCTCCCTCTGTGTGTGTGTACATGTGCTGAGTGCGTGTGTTTGTGCTTTGTTTGCGTGCAAGTCGAGAGGCTGATGGAAGGCTGTTAATAAGGGAGACAGCATCAAGATAGATATGAGAGAGAAGAGCAAAGTGGGCAAGAAAAAGTGAAGTTTCTGCAGTCAGCTTCTTGATGCCGACCCCTCCTTCCTCCCACTATCCTATTCCCTTCTTCCAAACTAAAGAGGAGGGCTGCAGGCAGAACAAGCAGACAGGTCTTTGATCTCGAAGATGATGGTAACCAAGCCCCCCCCCTCCGTATATGCCTGCCTCTCTCTCTTTCACTCTTTGCAACCATTCCACGTCCTCCACAGATATGTGCCTAATCACAGTCTAGCCAAGCAGTGACACACCCAGCACCTTTCTCTTCTCTCTTTCCGTCTTTCTCCCTCCCCGTCTGTCTGTCTGTCTTGTCACCATTTATGCTACCCCTGCTCCGTCTCCTCACGTCACCTCCTCCCACCGTCTCCTCCATGCAGCGATTGTGAGTAGAGTAAACGCGAGTTGTCACACACTTCATCCCCGGCTCGTCTCAGTGCAGCCGCAAGAAATGATGTATCCCGTCGACACGCTCAGCAGCAGGCGTTGAGAGCGAGGGGCGGCTGGCAGGCAGGTGGAATCTTGGGTAATAAACAGAGAGGATTTGGCTTCTCTGAAAACAAAAGGAGTTTGAAACCTGTCTGGACTCAATATCGCTTTAGGGTGTACATTTTAGTTAATATCCCTTTTATTTGTTCAGTCGCGCTGCATAATGTGAGATCTTCCCCCAAAGTCCTGCGTTGTTTTGTCTCTAATTCATAAAAAATCTACCTGGACTTACGTTTCAATGCAACTTTGTTTAATTGGATTAGACAGAATTTGTTTTAGGATTTGAGCCGAATAATCACATTAAAGAGTGAGACCTTGCTAACTGGCACTGAGTTACACGCTTTAATCACAATTCTCTTGGCAATTTAAAAGGCAGTAGCATTATTTAGTGATCTCATAATTTGCCCATTGATTTGAATTTAATTTATCTCTCCCCAAATTCAGACAGCCCCAGGAGGCCTGTTAGTAGATAATGTATTTACTGTAGTAATAAACTGTAAATAAGCAAGCTTTTGGATTGCTTCGCTCCCTATGAGCTCTATTTCCTGTGTGTGTGTGACAGAGAGAAATAACAGAAAAAGTCACTTGTCAAGATTACAGAGGGTTGGAGGCTATTCTGGAAATAATGACACCACAATTGTAACGGGTCGTGCATTGACAAACCTGATTACAAAGACTCTGAAGTCAATGAAGACATCACACACACTACCTATTACAGACATAAACTGACTTAAATACGAAGCAAGGAGAGGAAATTCACATTTAATGTTGTTGCTGTGCCAGTGTTCAGTTCACGGAGCAGTTCACATTTTTCATGTGTCTGATTTTGTGCTCAGTCTGAGAAAAAGGTTGTGTCAGAAAAACAGATAATAACTAACTGGTTTTGTACTGACAGAAAATTAATTATTGATTCTGAGACATTTATTTGCAGATTACCAGGCAGAATAATTGAATGATGCTGCAACCAAAGAGAGAGCGGCCACCCAGAGCAGAGGCTGGCAGCAGTGCAGTTAAGTGCTCTACACATAGGTGCATTTTCATTGGTATTCTTCCCATTCACTGCAATAAAAACAGGTTAGCGCTGTCAGGATTCAAGTGGGATAGCAAGGGATTATAGGGTAGGATGGTGTATTTTCCTCTCAGCTCTCTCTCTCTACTTCTCATTGCTCTCTCTTCCTTCTGTTCTTCTGTATGCTGTGGGAGTGTTGTTTAGACCTTGCAAAGCCCCTGATTAGGGGGCTGTACTGTGGAACAGCAGATAGCTCTGTTTTTCTTATTTCTCCCTGGATGGAAATGGACAGACACATGGACTAACGGGCCGGCAGGTAAAACACTGAAGGAAGGATAAAAAATTAGATGCTGTAGATGAGTGGAGCACCAGGAAGATTATCCATTCATTCATTCATTCGTTCGTCCTGTTCAGGTTCACTTGTAGCCAAAAAGATCTTGATTTCATGTATTAAGGTATGCTGCTTTAAATTAAAGGGCCTAATAATATCATCATCATATCTATCATGTCATATTTTTTATGAATGTAGTACATTTGTGGTCAAAGCTGTAGCTGAAGACATTCAAGTCAACCACACCTTTGCCGAAATGGTCAGACATTACATTTTCTATCGTTGATTTTTCTTTCTCTGAAGCTTTAACTTTTCATGTGGTGCAGAGACGTAAATTCAGGTTGATCAGATTTTCTCTTTCAAATCTCTTCCATTCAAATCCCCAGCTGATCTTCAGAGGTGGAACATTTTCCACCGTGTCTTGGCTTGATTTGTATCTCAATAAGCAACTACATCAATTCTATATGTCATCACATTATTTGCACTATTCTCTAAATGTGAATTGTGTAAACAAATGATTAAAATATAAAGTATATTTGACGCAAAAGGCAAAAAAGAGGAATTGGTAAACACAACAACATTGACTGTTACTGTTTTTTATAGCAATTCTCCTAAATTTGATTTAAATCAATCAAATCAGATTTAATTAATGTGCTGACTTTATTAAAGTTGTTTTCTTTTCACCTTGGCTCCACTTAATTTTTGCTGTATATTATGGTGATTGCCCTACTCAAAATACAAGTTTACCCAATGTATAAAATCAATTTCACAGTAGAGTGGCTATTAGACCTGATTAATAAATAGCACAAATATGTTTACAAAAGTATATCTTGAATCAAATAATTTTTTTTAAGAAAGACTTGATTTGACAACAAACTCATAGTAACTAAATATTTGGAATAATAAACTGATCAAGTGTGCAACTCATAATGAACATCACAAGAGCATCTCAAAACTTTGACAAACACCCAAACACTGTTTCATATCTTAATATTATTTCCCCGCTCACTGTTATCAATTAAACCTTTACTGCCCTGAAAATGGGGACAGAAGAGCAAAAGTTCACTGAGGTATAGACTGTAGAGTCTCTTTAACACAGAGCCATTGATTTGCTGAAATTTAATTTGCTCCCAGTCAATGGCGAGTGTACAGCGTTCAGCAGGGATAAAGTTTGACAACAGGAAAAGACCAGCACATTTAAATGTTATTGTCTCAATCAACCCTTATTGATTAACTGCATCTGCCAAAGAGTGAATTTACTTGAACTGTGGCACTTGGTGGATGAGAAATTGTGACTCATGGGTGCCAAAGTGATACAGAAATAGTGGATGTAGTGAGAAAAGGCCACCTGGTTTGGGGGATAAGAGACATGCTGCAGCAGGTGAAGTGACAGGTTGGGTAGTTAATATGACAGAGAGGTAGGGATTGCCATTGGGACGGGTGGGGTGAGCCGCTAGTCGAGTAGGGAGTAGTTTATGTGGAGCACAGACTAGCTACTAGAGATAGAAGTAATGCATCAGATGAAGTGACATGTAGATCAGGGAGCTAAGAAACAGGTAGGTGTTCATTAGTAAGAGTGGTGTAACAGTTTTCCTTAAACTTTCTCTCTCAGCTCACACACAACATCCTCAATTTAAAGTAATGGAGAGAGGATTGAGAATAAAATCTCCAGAGAGGAGGCTGTGCAGGAGTGAAGGTGCTGATGTACCACAATCTAGTTTCACCTTCTCACAGATTAAGCCTGTTCTGCCTCCTCTCTCTCTGCGTCTTTGTTCCCACATCCCTCCCTTTATTCAACCTTTTCACATTGACTCCCTCCTCTTCCCTCTCTCTCTCTGTCTCTACATCATTCAGTCAAACTGGTGGGTTTTTTTGCTCTTTCTGCGAAATTTCCATACTCTGTCAAACTTTGGCAGAGAGCTTTTCCATTTGCTCACAAACAGAAGATCAGGCCTCGTCCTCAGTCCATTTAACTGGCACACACGAACAAAGCGCTGTGCAAACAGCTGCTATTGTATTTGAGAGCGGGCTTTGGTTATGGAGCACTTTGTGTTCGTATCCTTAAAATAATGTTTTGTAGATTACTGATAGAGGACAGACAAAATATAGGATTACTCTTAAGGAGGAATGCTTTTAATGCAAGCAGCAATATGTTTTACATATGTACAGAGCTGGTAGGTACATTTCTTTAGAAAAATTAATTCCTAAACCAAATGTGAGCCAATTAAATTTTTTTTTTTTTGGAACCTCTCTGGTGAATCACAGACTTTATAAAGTCATGAAACATGCCTTCACAGTGAGTTGTTTCATGAGAGTGATACTGTTTTCGTAATGTATGTTAACAAATTAACAAAACATGCAACATTGTTGTTACATATGCATACATATTAAGTGATACAATGGGCCTATTCTCAGGAAAGGGAACAGATAGTAGGCCTAATAATGAAATAAATGTTTTGTACTAAGCCTGCAAGTTCCTGTAGAAACTTTATTGTAACTCAGTGCAAACATATTTCCATACATTTTAAGTGTTTGATTGTATTACACTAATACAAAGTAGGTGAATGGAATTTAGTTTGTGCTAAAGCATTTAAAAAATTACATTTAGAAAATTAAAGGGCAACATCTCTTTCCATAAACAGTAATGGGAAACGGATTGTATTGTATAGCATCTTTCTAGTCTTCCGACCACTCAAAGTGCTTTTACACTACATGCAGAATTCACACACATTCATACAGTGATGGTAGAGGCTCATCACAAAAAGAAACTAACTCATCCACATTCACACACCGATGCACAGCATCAGGAGCAATCTTGCTCAAGGACACTCCAACATGCAACAGGATCAAACCTTCTTATTAGTGGACGACCTGCTCTACCTCCTGAGCCACAGCTCCTCAAACAGTAGGCTAACGTTGTCACTCTAGACAATCTACAGAACACAATGTCTACGTTTTCATTGGAACTACTTTCTACTGGAGTAATAGTCCTTACTAAACTGTCGACAGTGTCGTCAGTGGAACCGCCCCCACACCCAAGCTCCAACCTCATTGAACAAGGCCTCCCCCTCCTCACAAATCCCAATTTAACCCCTGCCACTGCCTTAAGTAAGTATTTTAAAGTTCACTAATCAAAGTAAGCATCAATACTTTGGTAACATTCTTGAGTGATGTGTAATTTCTTCAGTAACCTAACCAGCGCTGTTAGTAATCTGGCAGACAAAAGACAAATCTGACAAAAATTTCTAGGAAAAAAATATCTTTAAACAACATTTCTTGTGGTTGGTTTTAAGATCCAGACAGGTGGGTGTGTTTAAAGCCTTGGGACTGGCTCACTTGTATAGCCATTGTGCGAGTTGATCTCGCAAAAGCACTGAAATGGATTTGGAAGGGTAATTTGACCCCTGTCAGATAGTATAGCCCTGGGCTGCGGTGCTTTACTAGCTAGCGTAGTTTACCTAGAACAAAGTAAGCCGGGCCTAAGCCAGCTGGCAACATGATCCGCCCTGCAATGATTCCCAGGCATCTGGGGGTCACACATACGAACAAGTCTCTCAGAGGGCGATGTCACATCGGAGAGGACCGTTCCCTCGACACTTGCTGAAGGAGAGAAACCTGATACACGCGTGCACACAGACACACACACTCACACCCCTTCTGACGGGCACGAGAGTGTGAAAGGGACATGGCTGAGTTAAGCGTACGGACCCTGTCAGTAGAGAGTGTGTATTGAGTATCGATTAGTATTTGATCCCTGCCAGTCGCTCCTCTCCTGTGTCTCCCTGCAGGCTCCACGCTGACCTTCTCTGACTGTCTGTCTCCTCACACACACACACACACGAGCGTACACACACACTGAGCATGAGCATTACTTCTTGCGTGATAACTTACCCTTGATGGAGATGGTGTGAGACGGTGTGTGTGGGGGCGTCACGGGCAGGAAAAAAAAACAAAGGGAAAGAAAAAAGAAAGAAGAAAGAAAAGGATTTAGCTTTGGGCATGTGATGGAAGACAAATGGAGTGACTCAATAGGTCCATTATGAGCTGGGGTGGGGGTGGTGGTTAAGAGATGGATGGCAAAGACGAGGCTTTGAGAGGATGTGAATAGATGTAGAGAATCATAGTTAGATCAGGCAATCTGCTTAACCAGCTTACTGCTCCTGGCCCTGTTCCTCACTCTCCATCCTCTCACACTTTCTGTGTGTGATCAGACGTACTTCGATAGCAGTTATTATCATAACTGTGCCAAGTGCACATTAGCAATCTCCTCTAATATTGTTATTAAGTTAATTCTTCAGTCGTCTCACATTGCTATGTACCTCTATCTCTGACTCGAAGGTCAGGGGATTGGGAGTAATCTTCAATATTTCCAGCTACTCTCTATATTTCTGCACGTTCCCTCCACTACTGAACTTCCTTTTATCTACGCCAACCCCGCTGTGCCCTTCTCCTTTTAATCTATGTTCATCTCTTGCTCGAGATTCCCCCTGTGTCCCCTTTTCCTCTCCGTGTCTCCTATGCATTTTCTTAACCCTCTTCATCTTTGCTTCCTCTCGGTCTCTATAACTGTTAAGTCATGTTTTATAGTTCTATTTGCTGGCTGGCCCAGCTGCTGTAATAGAATTGCTCCTTCCTACATGGACAACAGTTTCCAGGGTAACAGAGACGG